TCTCAGCCACCGCCTGACTCTGTGCTTCGCCAGGTTCTTAGTCTCCCTTCGTCTACTGGTCTTCCGTTACAGCCTGGCTCACCGCTGCCTGGTCCTTCTCCTTACACTAAGCAGACAGGGGGTCTTACTGAGCATCGTGAGCCTGCGTCGCGTCCTGACTCGCCTGTCCGTTCTGGTCGTTACGGTCGTCGTGTTCCTCGTTCGCGTCAGCCGGCTGTCCCCGGCACCCACCTCGTAATCCGTCGTCCTTCCTCTCCTCCGTAGCGTGTTCCCCTGCCGTCCCCTCCTGCGACTTCTCTGCCTACCGTTCCTGAGCCTGAGTCTGACCGCACCCGTGCTGCTCGCCCTACTGTCACGCGTCTGCTAGCCACAGTTGCCACTGACCCGTCGTTTGAGTCTGCTGCTGCGTCTGCCTTAGTTACTGAGCTTGTTAACTTTGCTGCTGCCTGTCGTCTAGACTACGCCGCTAGTCTTGTTGCTGAGTCTGAATCTGTCTGTCCTCCGTTCGTCGGGGGTGAGTGTGCTCTTGGCACGGACGTCCTTGAGGACAGGCAGGAGGACCTTGAGTGTCTTGCAGCTGCTGCGCCTCATCTCGTGTCCATGCTGCTTGCCCCTAAGAAGATCCGGATGCTCCAGACATCCCGACCCCGCGCTCTTACGCTGAGGCGATCGGGGGTGAGTACTCCTCTCAGTGGCAGACAGCCATGGATGCAGAGATGGCATCCTGGAAGTCCACATGCACGTACGTCGACGAGGTTCCCCCTCCTGGGGCGAACATCGTCAGTGGCATGTGGATTTTCAGGGTGAAGCGGCCGCCATGTTCTCCACCTGTCTTCAAGGCTCGTTACGTTGCTCGAGGTTTCAGTCAGCGAGAGGGAGTCGACTTCTTCCAGACCTTCTCCCCCACCCCGAAGGTGACCACTCTTCGGGTGCTGCTGCACGTTGCCGCTCAGCGTGACTACGAGCTTCACTCTCTTGACTTCAGCACAGCTTTCTTACAGGGCAGCCTGCACGAGGAGATCTGGCTGCGCCGCCCTCCTGGCTTCACTGGGTCGTTCCCTCCTGGTACCCAGTGGAGCCTCCGGCGGCCGGTCTACGGCCTCCGCCAGGCGCCACGTGAGTGGCACGACACACTGAGGACTACACTTGCGGCTCTTGGGTTCGCGCCTTCTACTGTTGACCCGTCGCTGTTTCTGCACACCGACACTTCGCTGCCGCCGTTCTACATCCTCGTGTATGTCGACGACTTGGTATTTGCCACTGTTGAAACTGAGGCTCTCGCCCTAGTGAAGTCGGAGCTGCAGAAGAGACACACGTGCACAGACTTGGGTGAACTGCGCAGTTACCTTGGCTTGCAGATCACCCGGGACAGAGCACGCCGCACCATCACACTAACTCAGTCACACATGGTGCAGCAGGTCCTTCACCGCTTCGGCTTCACCTGGTCCTCGCCACAGCACACTCTTCTGGCTATAGGCCCTCGCTCTCAGCCTTGGGATGAGTTCGTAGAGCCGAGTGGCCCGTACGCAGAGCTAGTGGGCTGCCTCATATACCTGATGACCTGCACTCGACCTGACCTTGCGTACCCTTTTGGCCTTCTGGCCCGCTACGTGGCTCCTGGTAGGCACCGAAAGGTGCACATGGATGCTGCTAAGAGGGTACTGCGCTACTTGTGCAGTACATCGGGCATGGGGCTCGTGCTTGGAGGGCGGAGCCCAGTTGTCCTCACTGGGCACTCGGACGCTTCTTGGGTTGACGACCTAGCTACGCAGCGGTCGTCAGAGGGTTACACCTTCAGCCTTGGTTCTGGTTCAGTTTCTTGGCGGTCTACACGCTCGTCTTCAGTTCTCGGCTCCAGTTGTGAGGCTGAGATCTACGCCGCCATGGCTGCACAGGAGCTACGCTGGCTCACCTACCTGCTGACCGACTTGGGAGAGCGGCCTCGTTCTCCTCTAGTGCTGTACGTCGACAACAAGGCCGCCATTGCCTTGTGTCAGGAGCACAGAGTGGAGCACAGAACGAAGCACATCGCTCTTCGTTACTTCCTTGCTCGAGAGTTGCAGCAGCGTGGTCAGCTTCGTCTTGCTCACGTGGCCACTCGGGCCTACACTGCTGATATATTCACCAAGGCACTTCCGTCTGGTGATCATCAGCGTTTTTGTACTTTGTTAGGCCTTGTGCCCACGTTTTCTCACTTGCTGTAGACTTTGCCTGTACTATGATATATATATATACCTGCATGCTTGCTCTGCTAGGTAGAGATCACAGTGCTGCCGTTGTTGCATATTTACCTCTGCATGTGAACTGGCCTCGTGGCCCTTTGCTTGTGCTCTGTGTGTGGTGACGGTGTGATCCACCCTGAGCTTGTTTTGCTTCTCTTGACTGGTCTTGTGACCGCTTGTTCTCCCCCACTTTGCCTTAGGGGGTGTGTTAAAGTATATGCATGTTATATGTGTGTAGGCTGTAGTGGGGTAGCCAATATGGGGTACAGCCCCGTTTAGGGTTTCATACTTGTACCCAACTCTTCCATAGTGCATTCATTCCTGCTGCTAGATTCTAACAGTAGTAGAGCCGGTTGACGTTCCACCACAATGGAACTGAAACAAACAGATTAGCATGAACAGGATACGCCACAAATCAGTTTCGAGACATATGCCGCACAAGTTTCCCCCTTAAAAAGGATGTGTTGCCACTATTAATGAGAGCTTACACTTTTATGGAAGGTTTGGATAAGATTCTGGGTGTAGCTGCGGAGACAGCCATGCCATTGATGGAAGATTGATACACCACTGATAGAATTGTATCACGTTTAGCACACACACGCATGCATGAGGGTTTCTGGCCAGCATTTTCCTAGGCTCGTGGTTTCTCTGCGAATCCTCTCGGAGCTACCCACATCACGTGACGGCGGCGTCAGCGTTGGGGCTGAGCGAAGCGACGAAGGAGCGAACCGTCTGCTTCTGTATCTCTCAACGGAATCGGGGGTGGCGCTCCGTTTTGCCCGGGGTGACGCTCGGGGGTGACGCTTTCGGGAGCGTCACCCTGACCCGGGCAGAAAAAACTAAAACCCTATCGGGATGGCATGCACCATTCGGGAGCCTAAACCCTAAATTTTCAGGGTTGAGGCTCCCGAATGGCATGCCATCCATCTGGGGTTTATTTTTTTTGCCCCGGGCAGTTTGTCGGTTTGTGGTTTCGTCTTTGTCGTTAGCACGCCTGCTACGTTCCGTTGAGATATACTAGGCTGAGCGTCGGAGAGCACGCCGTACCACATCACGAACACGCGGATAGGCCGATGCAGCACGCCGCACCCCCCCTCGCACCACGCCGGCCCCCAATGCGGGGAGATCCCGATGGGCTGTGCGCTACCCATGATCTTCGCGCGGCGGCCCGTCGTCGCTGCGCTGTCTTTACCTTCCCTGAGGTGGGTGAACGCGTGCAGCAGGGCTGGAGAGACGTTTACAGAAGCCAATGCAACAGAGCGTATTCGTTTTTCGCAAGGGAATTCAGTAGACGGAACCTTCTAGCATTCCGTTCAGAACGTGACTTTTGCTGCTAGACTCGGAACCTTCTAGCATTCCGTTCTTACCTCAGGCCCGCGCAGTCAGAACAAGGACGCACCGTGTTACAATCCGCGTGATTCCGGGCCGGCGAGCCCCGGCGTTTGGATCATAATGTTCCCCGCGGCCACTAGCCGCTCCCACCGGCGATGCTGATCCTTTGATGGACCACAGGTGCTGTTGCAACAATCCAGACGAACGAATTGTGCTAGGAGGCTGGAAAATCGTGCGAGGAATTAAGTTGGTAATACGATGGGCACCAGCCTCGACTGCTGAGACTCCGCTGAGGAGTACTCGTAGTGTTGAAAGCGCGAACACACACTGCGGGCTGGCTCTCCGTCGTTTGGTGGTACTTTGACTATAACGACGCGATTCGCATGACGGCGTTGCGACTTGAAGTTTGACCCCATTGCTACTAGCAGTGGCCACACTGCTGAGAAATGTCTGTGAGTTCTCGAGGCTCGCCTCGCAGATGAATACACGAGAATGTGTATATCCGTAACTTCAGCAGAGAGCAGTGATTAGTGCAATCTAGCAGACGAGTTTATCGGCACGTGACTCTGGAAAATGAGGGCCATGGAGCGACTACAATGTGCATTGAGTCCAGGCCAGACACACCAAAGAAGGAAAGCGATGTATGTCCTACATAAGGAGTGATGCGGCGACACCACGGCCTGGCCTACTCCGATGCCTGAGCGATGTTCTGTCGTGGGACACGGGGGGCATGGGGGGAGGCTCGTACCTTATCTTTTTAGATCTGTATAGCGCGGTTCAGTACGGTCAATCACGTTTCTGCGTGGTCTTTGCTTTCACCACTTCAAGCAACCCTGCGGAAAATGTCATCTCATCACATCAGGTCTGGTTGGTGGTGAGGAGAGGAAAGTCAAACCTTTTCCCACGCTGTATGCATGCTTCTCTGGGAGGCTCCTTCCTGTGGGGTGCCTTTTTCTGTTTGTCACTCGCGCCGCCAAAATGCTGCCATTGGGGCGGACGTGTAACCCGTGCTGTGTTCGTACGGAACTTCGTCGGTGAACAAAAGCTTCGCAGGATTCGCGATGGGCGTGGGCGACCAATTGCCCCTTTCAGCAGCAAGCAGACAAGGCGATGAGCTTTCGTTAGTCAACGCGACTGTTCCACACCACTTCGCAAATGCCAAGACGAGCATCACATCAGAGTTCCACAAGTGCAGGTTTCATTTGTCACGAAGTCGCACCTGTTTTCGCGCAGCGTCGTTTACGATGACGAGGTCAACAAAGGTGGCATGGATGAGCTGGTTGCTTGCTCTGCTTGAATGTTGTGTCGCACTGTTTGTACATGTACTTGTTACAGAACTTCCATGATTTTATACATGAACTAATAGATTGTACATCGAAAAGGAGAACGAACGATCATATACATAAACGATGCTACCCTCCTGGCCTGAATATTTTGTTGATTAAATCACCAATACCATTCTTTGTCGGTTTCTTTGGCGGAGGTGCTCGTTTTGGGGGAGGGGGCGGGGGGCGAGGTGGAGGAGGGGGTGAAGGAGGAGGAGATGGTGGGGGTGGGAAGGGTGGAGGGGAAGGGGGAGGAGATGGCGGAGGAGGTGAAGGTGGAGGAGAAGGGGGTGGCGAGGGCGGAGGCGGAGGACTAGGAGGTGCAGGAGGTGAAGGGGGTCTAGGTGGTGGTGGAGATGGTGCATATGGGATGGTCAGCGCACACGAGCCAGCAACGAGGTCCCAGTTTTGCTGGATGAGGAATCTGGAGCTGTTGACCCCCACCAGGTTGTACTTGATGCCGGAGGCGTTAGGGATAAGGGGCGCAAACCTGTCAGGTGGATTGAAAAGAGTGCAGGAGGAGAGGAACAGCACCATTATTGGAAATGTGGTGTAGATCGGATTGCCATTGGTGCTTGGTTGGGGTGACAGAGTGGCAAAGGTTGCTCACTTCCAGGAGCACTTGTCGGCGTTCTCATAGCCATCCCCATCGAACCACGTGGAGATGAAGGGGCTGGATGTGGCCTCAGCAAGCTCGTGGGCGAAGACAGACACGAGGCCATCCATGCCTGGATCTCCCGTGGGGGCCAGAGAGGTATTGTTGCAGATGTCGCTGGGAATGCAGGACGAGGGGCACTGCACAGGCGATAACAGCGGTGAGCAGGTGAGGGTTTAGTGGATGTCTGTCCGTGAAGCAAGATAAGTTGCTGTGGCTGAAGAGTGGTGCTTGATAGGCTCCCGCTCACGACTTACGAGCAGGTTTGCCTTGCCGACCCAAGAGTAGATGTAGTCGCCGTACATGTCGGCCCACGCGTAGTAGTGCCACCCACAGAAGTCCGTGCAGAACTTCTGAGACGTGCTCTGATTGCCCCATTTCTGCAGAAGCGAGATAAACGTGGCAAATGAGGATATTATCACAAGCGATACAGACAGTCCAACCACACATGACTTGCAAGAAAGACATCCGTGTCATGTCCTTTGCTCAACATCACACCGCATGGTGCATCTGCTAGATTGCCATCACAGCACACCTGAGTGACAAGCTCGTCCGAGAGGAGGAAGTAGACGGCACCGGGGTCGTGGGGCAGTCGTTAGCTGCTAATGGCCGAACCAAGTAGGCTCTCCACTTGGCTTGAAAGCAGATTTTTGCCTTTGCTGTACGCCCTGTCCTCCAGCTCGCCGCCCCACGTCACGGATTGTGATATGTGGTTGCCGTTCTGGTCGTAGTAGAGCCGGTTGATGTTCCACCACAGTGGAACTGAAACAAGTGAATAAAATGAATAGGATATACAGCAATCAAAATTTCAGAAAGAGATAACACCTTGGAGTTAATGAGCTGACACGTGTTACACGAACTATTCCCCCCCCCAAAAAAATGTTGCTATTTTTTATGATAACTTACGCTGTATGAGAGTTTAGGAGGATTGATGTCAACGTGTAGCGAATGGCGGAGACAGGGGGAAGATGGAAGGTAGGTACACCGTAGGACGAACATCTTCAGATAAAAATACACATTTAGTGTAGCACACAGACGTACGCTTGAAGAGCTTGGGCGAAAATATTGCAAGGGCTCGTGGTTTCCCAGAGGGGGTCTACAAGGGTTTCCGCATTCTACGGCGACGATTTGGAAACACGCAGCTTCTCTGCGAATCCTCGATGGGCTACCCACCAGTGACGGCGGCGTCAGCATTGGGGCTGAGCGAAGCGACGAAGGAACGAACCGTCTGCTTCTGAGCATCGGAGAACACGCCGTACCACATCACGAACACGCGTATCGGCCGATTCAGCACGCCGCACTTGTTCCAACACCCAGCCCCCCAACGCGGGTAAATCCCGATGGGCTCTGCGCTACCCAGGATCGTCGCGCGGCGGCCCGTCGTCGCCGCGCCGCCTTGACCCCTGAGGTGGGCGTGCGCGTATGGCAGGGCTGTAGAGACGGTTACAGAAGCCTCCGAAACGGTACTTCTTTTCAAGCATAACAAAGGATTGCGGTCGACGGCGTTCTCACTAGAAGTATCATTGGTGCACTCGGGAGGCTAGCTCAGACCGGCACCGCGTCAGAACAAGGACGCACCACGTAGTGATCGGCGCGATTCCGGGTCGGCGAGCCCCCGCATTTGGATATTCCACAACTTCCCGCGCCCATGATGGCTGTCGGAAGGGCGGAGTAGGCGGAGGCCGCGCGGATGGCCGGCGCCTCGGTAGTAAAGGGTTGGGATTCGCAGGCGGAGCTGGCGGGCGCGCGCGAAGCTGCACTGATCCTTGATTGGACCACAGGTGCTGTCTCAACACACGGGATGAACGAACTGAACTACTAGGAGGCTGGACTAGAGTACGAGGAATCAAGTGATCAACATGACTACTAGCAGTACTACCATCCTTGGCTTCGGACGCGCCTCTGAGGAAAAATGTAAGGATTATGACCGCAAGCACAGACTGCAGGTTGGCTCTCCGCGGTTGAACTGTTTGGATCATGGCGAGATTCGCATGCAAGCGTGGCAACTTGAAGTCCATAGCTTACAACAATGAGGGCACTTAACAGGTGCGGTGGCAGTACTAGCGATGTCAGCGATGTCTGAGGAGCGCCACGGGAGCTCCTCAGGCTCTCCTCGCTTTCCAGGCAGGAAGTGTTGACGCATTCACCAGATCTAAACGAGATTCCGATTGAGTGCACGCAATGCGTAGTGCAAACCAGCAGACGAGCTTATTGGCACGTAATTCTTTGAGATAAAACCATGGAACTGAAGGGGGTGCATCGAGACCACGGTATGCACACTATCGTATGAATGCGGCAGGTCTTGGTCCAGTCATTCCTGGTTCTGTTGCCGCACACCTGATCACGGTGTTCTGATCGTGGGACTCTGCTGTGTGTGGTAAGGTGAAAATGAAGAGGAGATGCTTTCATCCTCGTGACCAGCTAGTAGCTGCCTGTGTGCAGCTTTCCTTTCCTTTCATGCTCACCTTTGGCCGCCAAATTGCGGGCTTCATTGGCTTTGTAATCCAACAGTCTTTGGATTCCGACGCTCAGCCCTCTGCACCGTATTGGAAAGTTCGGCAGCTCAAATTTTACATAAATATACCGTGTACAACCTCTCTTAATGTCCAGACGTTGGCAATGTTCACACTAGATGTTGGACACTACTAGCGGAGTTCCTTTCCTTCTCTCCTCCATGCTATCACCTCATAGGAATCATCATCGCACGTGCATCTCGTTGGTCCGCTGGAATCTCGCGAAGTGGATGTGTGGTGGTGCAGCGCAAGTCGCCGCGAGCAAAGACTCCATGAGAGGGCCGCGAACTTGGCGAAATCCAATTTCGGATTGTGTCATCCAGCTGTAACCAGTAGAGCCACCACACCACCCAAATGGCCTTGTTGTTCCGGCATTGATTTCGCCTGTCCAAACACCACAACAGCCTCAACACCCCCCAATTACATTACACATGATGCTCAACCCCTGTCCGCAATTCTGCTCAGCCCTTACCGAAAGCCTGCCCACTTACATTTAGGGCCGAACATTTCCACGCTCGGTAAAAGCCCACTTGTTGATTGCAGCTTCTGAACATAAAGCTTATGTCATCCGTCCCGTCATGATATATTTTCAAACTATTACAATCGTTTATTCACTTGCCCACTTCATTCTCATTCTTTTTTCCGTGGCGAAGGCAAGCAGGGCCTGTGTCCCTTCATACCCCTTGGAGAGGCAAATGTTGCGTGCGACTAACGACCATCGGGTGTAACCCACCTCCCCCACACCCCACCACCTGCTCAATCTCTTGTGGTCAGATAGGAGAGATGGCATATCGCGACGCGAAAACGTATCAGCCACCTCACGCACTCTGTAGCAGGTCTGGGTACCCCCTTGATTCTATTCCGAGCCCAGCTGACAGGCATGGTGAAAAGAAACAGCCCAATCTCTGGGGTGTGGCTGGTCAACAAGAGCGAACGATGTTGGGTCCCTGATCCGAACCCAAATAATCTGAGCTGCGCTGTACGTACAGTCCGAACCCAATCTGCGTCTGCGTTAGAATTTGAGGTTTGTGCAGCTACACAGGATTCTCAGCTGGTGCACGCAAATTTGGTCTGCCTCATTCCGACAGCCTGCCCAATTACAGTTGGTACCAGCCAGTTGCACGCACGTTACAAGCCCATATTTTGATCGCAGCCGTTGAACATCCACCTTATCACGCTGGCATCCGTCCGTTCGTGAGATATTTTGAGACGCTTGTTACACCTGCCCACTACTGTCCCGATTTCGCCCGTGGCGAATGTTTGCGAGTTAGGCGAAACGCTTGTTGCTCAATAATTACCCAAATGACGAGAAAAGTTGTGGGTATCTACCGGGCATCCTGTGTACTGAGTGATGGCATGTCCATACCTATCGACTCATCCGCCAGTGATGAACTGCCAGCTGGTTACAAGCAGAGCCACAGTGAATTGCCCCCACTCCACTCGACACCAACTCACGGCCGAAATCGTTCTTGACTAAACATAGGTTACCACAAGCTCGTCGCGATATTATTGTCGCCACAACATGGGGCCAGCCAAGGATGACCATTGATTGACCATACACACAGGAATTCACATGAACGTCTGTATCGCGTATGACAAGAAACCACCAGTAGCCACTGCTGATTGTTCGCACGTCCTATGGCAGCGGTACTGCGCCTGGCGCAGTCTACTGACCTTGCTGAGTATCGAGTCTGCGAAAGGTGAAGTCTATGGCGAGAGAGCCGTACCACCGCCTGACTACGACCACCCAAGCCCGCCAGACTATGGCGTTCACGAGCGACAAAAACGCTGCTCGTTGAATTCGCCGCCCTCAGCGTCGCGATGTCCCGAGGATGCCGGAGAACGTGCTGGAGGGACACCCTCGGCCGCATTGTCCCTCCCAGAGGCCGTTTTCGGCCCGCCGCCAGCCCACAAACCCTTATAGTGAGCAATTTGCTACTACTGTTAATTACTAGTACCTTCGTCGTCGCCATCACTAGTTCGGAAGGCTACAATCATCGCGCGACGCGTTCCCGGCGGACCTACCACCCGACCTTCTCTCGTAGCTTGCTGTCGTCGACGAATCATAACGACGGGATCCGCAGCGCAGGCCGGCCAACCGTACGGCGGCCGTCGCCAGATGTCTCGCAAGATGACACGGCGGATGATGACACGTTCGACAACGCGGCAGATGCGATCAAGGAGAGCGGAAGCGCACGAATGGCGGTGCGGGTAGGAAAGGGCGGCGCGGCGGGCGAGGATGGGGGGACGAACGGGAAGCGGCAAGAGATGGTATGGCTGCGACGAGGCATGACCGCTGCGATGCGCGAGGCGCGCGAAGTGGATGCGGTGGCTTCCGGCGGCGGCGGCAGCAGCAGCGGCGGCGTCAGCAGTGGCGGCAGCGGCAGTGGCGACAGCAGCAGCAGTGGCGGCAGCAGCAGCAGCGGCCGCAGCAGAATTGACGGCGGCAGCGACGGCGGCGTCAGCAGTGGCGGCAGCGGCAGTGGCGGCAGCAACAGCAGAGGCGGCAGCAGTAGTGGCGGCGTCATCAGTGGCAGCAGCAGCGGTGGCGGCAGCAGCAGTGGCGGCAGCAGCAGTGGCGGTAGCAGCAGTGGCGGCAGCAACAGCAGAGGCGGCAGCAGTAGTGGCGGCGTCATCAGTGGCAGCAGCAGCGGTGGCGGCAGCAGCAGTGGCGGCAGCAGCAGTGGCGGCAGCAGCAGCGGCGGCGTCAGCAGTGGCGGCAGCGGCAGTGGCGACAGCAGCAGCAGCGGCGGCAGCAGCAGTGGCGGCAGCAGAGGCGGTAGAGGTAGTGGCGGCAGAGGTGGTGGCGGCAGCGGCGATAAGCCCTCACAGGTGCAGGAAGGGGGGCGGCGCCCAACGCTGCAGCCGAATCGGCTGCAGCAGCCGCAGGTAGTCACGGCAGCAGGGAAGAAGCCCCCTCGCCGCGGCGGCAACGCCCCTCGCCCTATCGGCATTTCGCCGCACTGGCCCGCGAAGCGCAAGAAGAAGTGCGGGCGGCGGTGCGGCGTGATGCATCGCCCCATCGCTATCTACCTGCTGTGGTACGGCACCTTCTCCGATGCGCAGAAGGCGCTCGTCCGAGCCCTCATCGCGTCTCTCAACCCGTCCGCCGATGCTGCTCTCACTGGTGAGTGGGTGGTGTGGCAAATCAGTGGCGTCGCGAATGGGAGGGGGCTGCTGTGTACGACTATTGATGGCCTTTCAATGTGCCGATAGCCAGTTCCTCTACCTCCTCAGTCAATCTCCTTCGCACTTCTCATTCTCCCCATCTCCTCATCCCACTCCGCTCCCTCTTCCCCCCTTCCTCCCCCTTATCACTGCCTTACTCGCCACGCCACAGTCCCTCTCTGGTGGAACATCAATCGGCTTTACTACGATCGAGACATGAACTACATTTCAGGGAATGTGACTGTAAGGGGCGAGGTGGAGGACACGGGGTATTCCCAAGGGACCATGCTGCTGGACTCGGCTGTCGATACGATCATCCGTAACGCGGTTACCAGCAACCAGCTGCCGTTTGACAAGGATGGGGTGTACTTTGTGCTTTCAGACGAGACCGTCGATCAGGTGAGTCGGAGGGAGAGCAGAGGGGCTTCACAGTCTTTCCAGTCCATCCAGCTCCCCCAGCTGACATGATGCTTCGTTCAAATGTTTGTTTCTCCACACACGGGAGGTCGCAAGTCACAGCAATGGCATGTTTGACCCGCATGCCTCCCCCTTCCTCATGCCCTCCACCTCTACAGGTGTCGGATGGGCTTGCCTTCTGCTCGCACTACTGCGGCTGGCACTGGTACACCAAGGTGCCGGGGCAGGGCCTGCTCGTGTCCTCCTGGGTTGGCAACGCCGGCTCCAAGGTCAGCAATACCTGCCTGATCCCACACCCCCCTCTATTTCCGCCCTTCCTTCCTCTGCGCACCACCCTAGCCTAAACTCATTCTTCTCCCATCTCCCAGCCACCTAATCCTCGCTTGCTCTCCCCCCCTAATCCCCGTGCTCCTCACAACAGTGTCGCTCCAGCTGCATTGCGTCACAGCTCTTCAGCGGCCCCGGCCACTCTCCCAACGGGGACGTGGGCATGGATGGGCTGCTGTCGGTGTTTGCCCACGAGCTCGCAGAGGCCACTTCTGACCCGTTCATGTCAGCATGGTTCGACAACGATGGAGAGGAGAACGCCGACAAGTGCGCCTGGGAGTAAGCACACCTGCTCGCTTGCATCCCTCTTGCTTCTCACAGCCCTTCCTTGCCTGTTGAGTATTCAGCAGTGCCTGTATGTTTTGTTCACTCCCTTCCTCCCTCCCGCCACTCCATGTTCTGCCCTGTGCAGGTTTGGAGACTTGCTGTTTGACTCGCAAGATGGCCCCTTCTACAACCTTGTGGGCGTCAACAATCAGAAGTTCCTCATCCAGCAAACCTGGAACCTCGTAAAAGGAGCATGCGTCTCTACAGTATCATACGCAAACCTAGCTTCGTCCACCACTCCTCCACCTCCCCAGCAAGCCAGTGGGGGGGGTATTGGCGGGCTAATAGGAAGAATAATTGGTGGTAGAGGATGATATGTTCTGATGCAAAATGCCTCAATATATCTTTTTTTTTTTTTTTTTGCTTACCCTGCCAGTTTTACAACATCTTTTGCCATCATCTCTGTTGGTTAAGAAATTTGTAAGAGTTTATTTTCAAGAAATGACTGCCATGCCAAGGTATGTCCTTTACATGCTTGGGCGCCACAACCCAAAAGGTCATGCAAAACATTTTTTAGGAAAAAAATGGCCTAGACATTGTAAAGCTTCTCGATCTCCTTCTGCTCGTTCTCCTCCTTGGCGCGGCCATAGACGTCGATGCTGAGGTCCTGCTTGATGTTGTCCGAGTCGTCCACCACGTTCTCCATGTTGAGCACACGCTTGTCCTCCACCGAGAAGTTGAAGTCCGACCTCACCGTGCCCAGCGGCACCAGGTTCCTGTAGTGCACAGAATTGGGATTGGAATGAGGACATGGCATAGTTGAGTTTGGAAACTTAACGATAAACTATACTGGGGAGTCATTGACGAAGGGATGTAGCTACTTTGTGCAAGTAGGGAGGTTGATACGGACTTTACGAAGGAGGGAGGGAATCCGGTCATTGGAGATTGGATAGTCAAACGATGAGAGGATAGGGAGGTGGAGGTAGTGTGCGAGAGGGAAGGCAAGTAGGGTGATTCAGGGTGAAATATTCTTACGAAAGAGGACAGTGGACTTAGAAGCGATTATGGCGCTTATTTGGACCGCAATTGACCTAGAGACGGTACTACTCGACCGAAGTGACCACCACACGGCCTTGACACAAGGTGCTTGCCCTCGCATTCGTGAACTCATCTGTTTAAGAGATTCGTTCACGCCCTACAATGACGCTGACGAAACTCAACTTCAAGAGCACTCGACTCACCTCTGAGAAATTACGCTTTGAAATTTACAGTTAATTGCCATTAACGGCTGGGAACTGTTGCAGAGTCATGCAACATGACTCGAGGCGTTCGGTGAGAGTTAAGAAAAAAAACTTACAGCAGGTGCTCCTGTGGGTGTTGCCTCTTCCACGTCCTGGACGCGCACTTGGTTCGGAAGTCAAATTCCTCAGCGAAGACGCCGTTGCTGAATTCGGCAGGCAGCAGAGACGCATCCTGCTTCAGCACAACCCCCAGAGTCGTGCCGGTCACGTGTGTGTAGCAAGTCACGCCGCCGTTGTCCATGCACTCCAGCGCGCCTGCGGGGATGGCTTCGATGACAAACACGTCCTGAAGCTTCGCGTTTTCGTCCTTCACGAAGCAGTGCGCGAGGCCGACGGTGACGAAGTCGTCGTCGTTCCAGTCGGGGTTCTCGCCTGTCAAGTTGGCGACCACGACGCAGCGTGCAGAGGCAGAGACGGCGCGGACAGAAACCTTGGCGCTGGTGGCGCGGAGGGCGACTCTGGAGACCGATCCTTGGCAGAAAGCGGAATTTCTGAAGGACACGGAAGGGCATGACGCGGCATCCTTGGACTCAACAGGAGACGCGCATGGCGCAGCCAGGCCGGAAACGGCGACCTGGCTGGATAGCGCAGAGCAAGCCATATTGTGAAGGACTGTACAAGATACTGGTAATTCCTCAAAATAATCCTTTAACCAGAACGGCTTGCTGTGACTGTATCACGCGAGAGAAGTCTCGACAAAGTGATCGCAATTGTCGCTGAAAGCAAAACACAAGCAGCTTTGTTTGACAACTGAGCACTTCGGCTTTCCTTCACTTCAGGAATGTCTGTCACTTCATTGGTGCGATTCTCCCCAGAGGTTCGTGCTCTGGTTCCCCTGTGTTCCTGATTGCCTGCCAGCTAGGTGACCGAGTGCGTGCATTGCGCTCCGAAAGCCCCAAGGAGGGGGACGAGGCTGCGGTAAGTAAATCCGCCTGCCGAATGAATGAGGAGCACGGAGCGCCTCATCCACCTCCACGTCAGCCGCACGGGCAGCACTTTTCGAAAGGGCTTGCCACATCTGCACCAGTTCCTCATTCTCGCTAAGAATGTCAATCGATTTTCCGTACAGTAACATCTTCCAATGGCATTAGGAAAACATCCCATTTTGCGAGGTAGATGTTTATTCTCCTCGCACAATTGATGAGCCTGATCACAGATTGTACCCTTTCCCTCCATTTTGCTCATTTTCCCCCAACTCATTTCCTCCAGCACGCCCGACCAGCTAACACAGGGATCTCCGCGTTCACATCCCTAGACGTTACTTGACGCCGCCTGTATCAGCGAAGCGATTTGCGCAATTTCAGGCCGCCGTGCATTCCGGTGACCATGGCGGAACCTACGGCGATGGAAGTGGAGCCAGCTTCCGCTGACTCGAAGCCCTTACCTCGTCCCCTGGCATTCAACGGTAATCACTCTAGATGAATGCCCGCCTTTCAAGATTCAGGATAAGTTATTATTACACTGATAGACTTG